CCATGGATTCAAATGGATCTACTCTAGTTAAAAATGGCTTACACTAACCTGTTTCAACCCAGTAGAAGCAAAGATCTCCAAAAGAGGACATTCAGATCTTTCTCATAGAGTTACGACTGTACTATGCAAAAGTAAGTTACAATTAGAGTAGGTTCCCACCCTTGACTCAGGGGAAATTTACAAAAGAGCTGACTTGCCAAATCGCCACTGATTTAGTACGTCTGATTCCTTGCACAATGCAACAGGATTTCAGCCAATATTAAGCACGTTTTTAAGGGGCCCTGGGGGAAGTGTCTATTGAAGAGGTAAGCTTTCCCCCCTGATTTATTTAAAATCTTATTTGAAGAGCTTGTAGAGTAAATGAGCAACTCCAAACGATGTTGCTGGGCCAGCTACAGGAATGTCGCTTAAAAGCCAAGAAACAAAACCAGAAAATACAAACCGCGTAGGCGCTGGTGGCAGAAGGCACACACCACTGTCATCTCGAGAACCAAGGAAGGCTCTGTGAAGTCCTTGTGTTATCCTATCCCCCTGTGTTTAGATTCTCGCCCTCAGGGGCAACGATGTCACCATTTTTTCCTCTTCTAGTTAATATAATGACCACGTAATCCAATAGAAACTTTGGCTCCAGTTCAGGAGTGTACTTGGCATCATGCTGACGAGATCCTTCCAGGACAGAGGGACGGAAGAATCACAGTGTCTTCTTCTCTGATGTCTAGACGAAACCTTTCCAACCCAGTAGAAGCAAGGATTCCCGAAACAGACGCTTCCATTCTTCCACAAATTTTCCAGAAACTTTCCTACTGCGATATTGACATTATACACAAAATCTTTCCTGTTTCAGTTCAAAAGGTGTTTGATCATGGTTTAAAGACAGTTCAAAAAACCACCTGCTTAATATCCAAATAATGTTTTCAAAGCAGCAAGTGCAGTAAAACCCTTCCTCCCTTGTGGGTGGAGGTCTTCATTCCCGGTCCCAACTGGAGTTTTGCTTGAATGAACTGAGAAATCCAGCTAGTCTCCAAAAATCCACAGGACGTTCACACCAGATAAGCCGAGATTGACTCTCCTGCAAACACAGTTCACATACTTATATTAAGATACATCGCACATTTATATGAAGATAGAGTACAACTAGACCTCAGCATTGACATCATTGTCAACTAATGGCTGATCTCCTGTTGCTTAGCATAGCAAGTCACGTTATAGCGGTCCCACCTAGGTTCTATTGATTCCACTAGGCTGAAGTAAGTCACAACTAGAGTAGGCCCATTTGAATCAAGGGAACTTACAGAGGAGTGGAATCATCAAATCTCCACGGAATCAGTGGGGCTACGCTAACAGACTAATCAACAGGATTCAGCTACTATACCATTCCTCATCAGATTTTAAAACCTTCCTCTGAAGCCAAAACATTTAAAACATTTTCTGCATCGACCCAGGCATTGCGTCTAACCCAGTCCTTCCCAATCTGGGGTCCCCAGATTGCTCTTGGACTACAGCACCCAGAAGTCCTGGCCAGCACAGCTAGTGAAGGCTTCTGGGAGTTGTAGTCTAAGAACATCCCAGGTTGAGAACGATTGGCTTAGACTCTAACCTATCATGAATCTTTGGTTTTAAATTAACAGACTCTTCTAAATTCGGATTACAAAAGAAATGCTTTTCAAATGCACAGGGGCCAGTAGAAAGTTATTTTTTATTAACCGCACTACATCAATTTCTACTTTCCCCCTCTAGAGATTTAACGAGGAACAGACCTCAACAGATGGGAAACCCTGACATCTGAGCGTTCAGCCTGGAGGCAGGCAGTGCTTCATGGCCTCTCCCAATTTGAAGAGACCCTTGTCCAGCAGGCCGAGGCAAAGAGGAAGTCACAAAAGCAGCAAAACCAGGGAGCTGGACAGGGGACAGATTGGATTTGTCTTCAGTGTGGAAGAGATTGCCACTCTCGAATTGGCCTCTTCAGCCACACTAGACGCTGTTCCAAGTCCTCCATACAGAGCACGACACCATAGTCTTTCGAGACTGAAG